AAACTAAAGATTTACAGATCCAGATTCATTGTTCAAATCAGAAATCAATTGATTCAGGTATGTTCCGCGTTAATTCAGTTTCTTGATGGTTTGACATGAAGATCTTGGCAAGATCATAAAGTTTAAGTTTTAATAAAGTACGTCCAAACAAGACACATGGGTAAAACAGCCTCGTCCAACCTGCAATGGTTAGAAAAAGGAGTGTAATAAATTAACCTCATTAAGCTCATAATCAAATTTGAAAATTGAAAAAATGCTAGGATATACGGTACGCTTAAGTTCAAGGACCTAACCTGCTAAACCACATCAAAAGATGTCCCCTGAATCTTAGATTATGTTGTACCACATTCTACAGATATTACAGCTGCTGTTAACCACCATATCAATTAGCATCAGCACAACTGAAGACATTTATGATATCGTAACATTCAAAAAAGAGAGGAGCACGACAAGTTCCATAATAGTTTATTAACTGCTGATTTAATTGATTAATTATCCACATGTTAACATGAAGCTTTAATATAGTTATAAAGAGAGGATGGAATTTACAACTCTCTGGATCTTCGGCACATCCAAAAATCCCAGTTGTTCAGAGTTCATCGGCAGGAGGTTCAATGCTTTCAGGTAAAGGTTGTCCACGTTCATTGCACTTCCGAACATGCAACTGAACAATGAACCATGGTAATAGAATATAAATCTTAGAATCGTAACATGAAATGTTTTGGCCAAATAATAAATCTCTGAATGTTTAATCAACATAAAAGTGAAGCCAACTGTTCAAAAGTTAAGGTGGGAATTTAGAAGGAGAAATACAAATAATAAGTGGGAAATTGCATCAAAATTTTAAGCAGCCATAAATCCACCAAGAAAGTGTAAAACTATCAACCATGTGTGGTTAAGGATTATTCAATAAAATCCCATGCAGCACATCTTGGATAACCAAGCAAAAGATCTTTTATGACACTTTCATAACAAGGAAAAAAAACAAAAAAAAGTCATCCTACTTAACATAAACGTCGCTCATCTTCAAATCATTTCTAGTCCGTTTCCATCCAATATCCACCAATAACTATTTCTTAATGGAACAAGAGTAACATAGATTTAGTTATTTTTTTCTTGCTTTTTCTGCTGTTGAGTGGGGGAGGGTGGGACTTGGTAATAGCATTTAGTTCTTACTACAAGCATTTCCTCCACTTTGGGCAGCCCCACTGATGCATAGTCCCCAATAATGAACTGCCAAGCATAAATGCCTATATATATCATAGAACTTTCAGAATAAAAAGAATTAGCCTTTTATATGATGCCTTAGCAGCAAGTAATTTTTCAATGGTGAAACCAATGTTAAGATTCAGCATAATTCATTCCTTTTTGACATTGTGTACTCATTTCCCACTATTGTTTAAAATATAATAATCTAACATGTATATCTACCCACCAGCCTTTATTTAATCAGTGCACATAGATAGAATTCAGAAACTTAGCAAATTGATGAAGATGGAATCGATATTATTCAAAATGGTAGACTC